TGCTTCTATTAATTGATAAAGGAATGACCAAGGGAAGAATTGAATGCGTTGAGGAGTCAAGAGTTTTGCTCTGAACATATTAAATTTGACATGAAAGAACTAGACTGGAGATGTTGATTTGCTAATTATCAGAATATAGGAGGTGTGGCAATTTTTATACATGTCTGCAAATTCTCAGGCACTCCTGCCATTAATAGGTGGGGTCTATGTCCCTCCTCTTGAATCTGGGCTGACCTTAGTAACTCTATTGTAATGAACAAAATGTAGCTACTTCCCAGGTTAGGATAGTAAAAGCCATGCAGCCTCCAACTGTTTCTCTGAGAACAATTGTTTTCCCAAGAGGCTCCTTCTGGAGATGCTCCTTCTCAAGAATAGCTTCCATGTTGTGAGAAGCCATAATGAAAGGCCATGTATAGATGCTCCAGTCAACAATCTAAGTTGAAGTTGTTTTTCAACCATCACAGCCCAGCTGCCAGACATATGAATTAAGGACTCTACCCCCTGGCTTGGCCCCAGAACCTCCCTCATCTTCTCAGTTTAGAACCCAACATTTTCCCTGATGGACAATAGAGCTGGGCAACTAATATGCCTATATCTCATCACAGAATCCCCTGCCACATGGAGCTTGGAAGTAGATTCTCCATCTCCAGATGTTCCAGTCAATTAAGTCATCCCTGCTTGTTTGAGTCTTCCTTTCTGAGGTCCTGGGCTTTGTGGGGCAGAGACAAGCCATCTCTGATGAGCCCTGTCCACATTCCTGACCCATGGGAGTAATAAACAGTTGCTGTTCTATGCTACTGAATTTGGGAGTGGCTTGTTACGTGACAAAAGATAATTGAAATATGCAGTCACTAAAGCTATTAGGACAGATGACAGATGAGATCATTCAGGGGGAGTGTGTAAAGTGATAAGAGAAGAACAAAACCTCCTAGGGAAACCCAGCACTTAAGAGATGAGAGAAGTTGAACAGAAAAATCATGACAAACAGAAAGGTAGCAGGGGGGGAAAGTAGGGGTATCAGGAAACTGTGGTGTCATAGAAACCAAAAAATAAAGTTATTGTTAACAGTGTCAAATAGTGCTGATAGGTTCAAGTAAGATAAATAAATAAATAATGCCTTTAAGTTTTAGTAACCAGGGCAGTGGTGACTCAGTAGGAGTAGCTCACTGAGAGAAGATAATAGAATTATTTTAAAAGAGAGGAGAAGCGATGAGGAACAAAGGAGGGACTGGTCTCAGACCGAAGGGAGGCCACCTTTTGCCTGTGATAGAAGGGAAGGGAGTGATGGTATGTGAAGATCCCATGATTTCTGACTTCTATTGATTTGTTTGCAAAAAGTTTAGGAAGTTCATTCAATGGTTTCTGTTCTGCCCAAAGCTGAACCTTTGGAGGAAAAACAAAGGGGAAGGTGATTTTTGTTCCCATGATGTGATTTTGGCTTATCTGGGGGGCCCCTGTCTGACACCAGCACCACTTTAGTCTTTTCAATGTAGATCTCAACTTTTCTCATAATGGGACAGGAGCTGGGCTCCTACACACCATTATACAAGAACCTGCCACATCAAGCTCAGGCCAAGTACATAGTGTGGGGCTTGAGGAGGTCACTACTAGACATGAGTTTGGCCCTTGCATTCCCAGGTTTAGCCACCTTGCTGTCTTGGTGTTTAACCAAATTCTTTTGAAGCTGCCAATCCATGTGAGGTGTGTGACAGGCAACCAAAGATGGGGGTTGTATTTCTTAGGGGGACTGGTATGGGAGTCCCAGGATGCATTGACACTCAGAAGTAGAGTGGACCACTAGGGACGCTGCTGGAAAGCATACTGTAATGTCTTGGCTCTGATCAGAACTCTATTTTATTAATTGGGAAACTAAGTCTGAGCTCAGGGGAGGAACTTACCCAACATCATCACACAAAATCTGTGATAAGATTGAACCCTGGCTAAAATCCAGGTGTTCATTCTCAGTGTTTTACCATGATTTCAAATTGTTGGAGCTCCAGAAGTAAGGCAGAAGCAAGGCAAAACAGATCCAGGTTGCTTTCTGATGGAAAAAGGATAGGAGGCCTCAGAGGGCAGTCATGGCAGGTACCTTTAGCCTCACTCTAGTGGATGGTCACATGATTAACATTTCTAGGTAGCAGAGAGCCTATGTAATTCAAAGCTGTTGAAACTGAAGAAAGATCCCTGCCTCCAATTCTAGGGCTTCTTTCACAGAATTTCCCCTAATTGTGTTCTTCCTTTTCCATTTCACTTCTTATTCATTCCATGTTCTGCTAGACTTACTGCAAGGATTCAGTTTCAGAGGGCCTCCTACCCAAGCTCAGACTAGGAAGCCTTCTACAGGGTGTCATAGCCCAGATACATCCTAGATGGGCCAGTGAGCTATGCTTGAGATTTTCACAAGTTCCTGGTGCCTGGGAATGCCTTTCTCTCCTTCCCTCAGTACGTTAGCACTAGGAACTAATGGGTCGTTAAACAAATCTTCCAGGTTTAAAAGCACATAGAAGCAAACAATTACTTAAGTAGAAAAAAAATATTTAAAATAACTTAAAACAGAGCATGCTTATTAGTACCTGGATGCTCTTAGAGTTGTTTTAGAAGTTTGCACATTGCTTTCATTTATATTAAGCTCTACTGATCATGGTTCAGTTTCCTTTCCAATACCACCCTGAAGAATCCCTCCTTCACGTAGCTCTGATCTAGATTAGCATTCATTTATTCATACTTATGGAGTGCCTATTATGTGTTAGGCATTCTTGCATCAGCATCTAGAACTGATGCTTTAAATATCACAAAATACTTGAGTCCAGAAATACTGGTCCCAATTTGGGATAGGGTTTCAAAGTCTAGGGAAGTTCAGCAACAGAAGTCCTGATGGGAACAGATTGAGTTTTTCCATAAGGCTAGGGGAATCATTTTTAGAGGCAAAGTGGTTTCCTAGTGTTTTCAAGGAAACAACCCCTTAAATATTGGTATGTAATTTTTATCAAAGACACTGTCATCTGGTTGTTCTGGGGATATGGCTGAACTGGTCAAGGGACTGTGAGACTTGCAGCAGCAAGGCATCCATCAGATGACCACAGGGCTGGAATATGCACTGAGAGTCAGATTGGCCAAGTCCCTGATTTTATTTCAGACAATAAAACCTTTCATATTATTTGAACTGCTCTCCCAAAGAGATTTCTTCCATCATCTGTGAGCCACGTGATTTTCTCAAGCATATCTCATGAGATTATTTCCCAGATTTTTCCCAACTCTAAGAAATAAGGGTCCTCATCTATTTCCCAACACATGCATCAACCAACCAGACACCTACTCTCCCTCTGCTTAATAACTGATACCTAAGGGAATTATTGTCTAAGAAAAATGGTAATCAGTGGGAAAGTCTTTATAATTGCAATAAGAATAACTTTCTATTTCCTGGGATTGGGTGAATTTAGCAGAGGAAGCAATGTAGTGTTTCCTTCTCTGTCTTATTAGGTAATGACACTCATTACCTAATGAGTCAGTCAAAGCTATATTTTCACATGGGGTCCACTTTTGATTGCTGTAATAGGTCTCTTGCTCAGGGGATACCTTTTTTTTCCAGGTTATTTCACCTTATTTCAATGGTGGTAAGAAGTGGAAAGTAAGGGTGATTTGAGAGTGGTGGTAAAAGACAACTGAGTACTGCCTACAGTAGGCAAAGAGTAACCAAAAAAATTTTTCCAGTCTGAATACAATTCAGAAGTTTAATAAACAGCCGCTAAACATTGCACCAAAGCATTTGGAAACACAATTTCTACAGAAAGGCAAAGGTCAGGCTTTCATTCTAAACTCCTTAAGACGATCATTAACAGCCCTACCCACCCCACCCCCCACCCCGCCATCCCCACATATCCACAACACTACACCCTTCTAGTCATGAATTTGCCTACAGACACACTCTTAGGAATAATGGGATGAGCATGCATTATCCCAGCAATGGCAAGGAAGCAGGGGATGGGGGAAAGATGGGTGCAAAGGCAACCAGTGGCTAATGATAGACCCCTCAGGAGCTTTTTTTTAGGGACTGGGCAAGGAGAGTCTGCTTTTGGTGCCATCTCTGGCTTTACTTTGGGCTTCTAGGATATTCTGGACTAGTGGCTGGGGCTACCATATTAAACAATATCATTCCGTTGAGCTGTGACTATTAGAAGTGGTTTCCTTGAGTGACACATTGTGACTTCTTTCTACAAGTCTTTTTAGTGTCCAACCAAACTGCATTCAGGACTCCATAGGACTGTTGAGATTGTGCTGATTCAGAGGTCAAGTGGACCTGGATTCTCAGTTCTGTTTTAATTTTGGCCTTTGGAAAGGGACTCATGATAGTTCTCTATTACAGAATGTGTAAGGAGACTAGGCAAGTCATTTAAACATCTGAGACTCAGTGTATCTACCTTATAAAAATTTTATAATTATAATACATTAAGAACAAACGAGATCAAATGGCCCCTAAATAATATATTCTCAACCTGGTAATAATAATTTACTTGACTCAAAAACCAACTAGAGTTCAATTCACCCCTCTAAAAATTGGCATCAACAGAGAACCAGAGTTTTCTGACAAGGTGAGAGCAAAGTTCTTAGGCCTGGGCTAGCATTTGGGGTGTGGAGGGCATAGAGGGAAGAATTTGACTTTTGCCTGCCAGTGGCCCTCTCTTTTGAGCCAGACTTCAAACCTCTACAACCCAGACCAAATCACTTGCCCCATCCAATATTTGATTAGTTGCCTTGGCAGGGAGGTGACTTTCCTCTCTAATTAAAAAAATATATATATTATATAGGCATTTGATCTAGATCTTTTTGTTTCTGTTTGTCCCTTTTTAGTATAAATTACAAAAATACTTGATCCTTTTCTTGAAGAGTTTGCAGGCAGTAATGAGTCCAAACTAAGCAATGTCCAGCTGGCTACAAAGGGGTGGGGGAGGGTCAAAGGACTTATGGGAGCTTTCCCAAAGGAGATATATACCAAAGAGGGTATTATTTTTCTGAAGAGCTGAACTTGGCAGGACATCAGCCATCTTTAGGCCAGGGTGGCCTAGTTGATTCTGTTTTGGCTATCTATCATTAACAGTGGTAAGCCTCAACTGTTCACCACTAACCTCCAAACCAATAAAAAGGATGGAGCCATGTTTAGAGGTTAACACTGACTCCTGCCTTTGGTATCAGTACTTTTGCCTAGTGGGCCCTGGTGTAGGCAGGGGAGGTGGCAGGCCAGGACCACAGGGGATAGCCTGGCTCCCTCAGGAGTCAGATCATCTGATCTGGACCAGTCAACAATCTTCTTTCATCTGGACCACTCAAATAGTGAAGGCTCCCACTACAGGTAATAGAGTCTCCTTTCTCCAGTGGGCAGAGTGCAATATAACACATGCAGTGCCCTCAGATGGGGGAGACTGGCAGACTAAGATGAGCAACTGAACAAATGGCAGTGTTTGGCTCTGATGAGGGTATACTCAGCAATGTCAAAGGGACAAGTAATTTTTCTGTTATTATTTTTTCATTGATATTCATTAATATGAATTGAGAGTCACAGCTTGGTAGAGAGTTAAAAAGAAGAATCCTGAAACACAGAAAGGGAAGTCCTGGGGTTTGGGTGCTTGGATGCTTCCTAGGGTATACAGTGCTCTGGTTGCTGCATCACCACTATCTATTGTTTGCGGATCATGCCCTTGATAGCTGACTCCCGGTTGACATAGGTGGCCCAATAGACTAGGTTAAAAATGGCAAAGAGCACAGGAAAGATGATGCGGGAAATTTTGTCAACCTTGCTGACACTGTTGTAGGTCTTGGTCTCAGTTGGGATGTCCTGCACGTAGGTGGTCTTGGGTGAAGCAATAATTGTCGGGGTTGAGGAGGCACTGGGAGCAGCGCCCTTGGAGATGGTGGAGAACTCAGTGTCCTTCGCCAGGTTGATGGGATAGGTGGTTCCCACGATGTTGAAGGTGGTGCTGGTTTTCTTTGTTGGGGCTGCTGGTGTTTTCTTCTAGGAGTCAGAAAAAGTAGGGAGAAGGGAGGATAAAACAAAAGCTAATTAATTCATTACACAGAGCACCTTCAGAGGCTGTAGGGAGAAGGAGGCATGAGGGAAGTTAAGAAACAGGGGCCAGGAAGCCAATAGCACTGAATAACCAGGTTTGTATCTAAGGATAATTGAAGATGAGTTTGAAAACAGAAAACTTGCATCATCCTGGTTTACTAGTTATGTGGCTTTGGCCAAGTCACTTCTCTTTGAATTTTAGTCTCCTCATCTGTAAAATGAAAATCAAAATATTTGGCAGGGTTGTTGAGAGGATCAGTTGAAAGAATGATGCTAAGAATCACTGGAAAACCGTGAAATATTGGTCATATGTAGAGTATTATATAATCATGGGATTTGATCCTCACAGTAACCCTAACAAGTAGATATGTGAGATTACTCCCATTTGACAGATGATAAAACTCAGCCTCAAACTGAGTAGCAGAGCCCACACTAGCCACCAGGGCTCCTGACTTTAATCCAGGGTTGTACTGTGCTTTCTATAGGTGAGAGGCACTTTTTGGTTACCCGAGAAATAACTCCAAAAGGCTTCAACCATCAAGTGGCACATCCCCTGTGAGGAAGAGAGCTATATGAGTCTGAAAGTCATTTCATCTTAAAGACACAACAAATATTATGGCATGTTTACATGCATCATTACAACAATATCTCACCCTTCATGCACTTTAAATGTGTTCAGCAAGCTAGGGAGCACACCAGAGTTTCTGCTCTCACATGGATATAGGCAGGAGCCAGGACCTCCTCAGGGAGCTATGCGAATGTTTCCCTCTGACCCAGTAAAGGCAGGAATAGCCAGAGGCTTGCTATGACACTGCCTTTTGTAATTTTTTCAGAATTAAAAAAAAAAAAAAAACAGTGGGAAACAAACATGCACATATGTGCCCATTTGTTCCCAATTATATGATTTGTGTACACATGTACCCTTCATGTAGAAAAGAGAAAACAGAGCTCAGGTCTAGGTCAGAAGAGATGAGGCTGATGAAGGGGAAGCCAAAGGTAGTGACACTGCATAGTCTAGAGCATTCGCTGACTCCCTCTGTGCTCTGGCCTTTTCTTCATTCCATCCCTTTTTGTTTCTAGAGAAAAGTGAAGATAGAGGAGCTTCAGAAATGCCCAGTATTTGATGAGAAGTGACAACTACTTGCATTGCCTTAATTTCACATGCCTTACATTGTTCCCTGTCTCAATGTTATTTTGCTTCCCAGCATCTGTATTTTACTTTACCCCTCTCCTTCCTACTGGTTTCTTTCCAGGGTTTTTCTACTCATAGTCTCTCTTACTGTAATCTCTTTTCTTTACATCAGAGTTCCCAACATTTTGATGCTTTTTTCCCCATTTAGACCATACTGCTGTTTACCTTCCTGATCCTAAAGTAACTTTGCAAATATTTACCGAATACCTACTGGGCCAAAAACTATGCTAGGCATTTAGGGATATGTGGGAAGGTTAAAAGATGAGTCCATATCAGTCCCTGTTTTCCAGGAGTTTACAGTCCAGTGGGGAAGAGAGATGTAGGAACACATGAGTGCCATATAATGTGATCAGTGTTCTAACAGATATGAGCAAACTATGATGGGAATTCATTAAAGTGAGGGGCAAAATATCTACAGGTATTGGAAAAGGTGGCTCAGAGAAGGTAATGAGGCTTGTGAACTGGATTACAGAAGATAAGCAGGAACTCGTCACTTGAAGATGCGGCACAGACCAAGGGCACTGCTTGTTTGAGGGATGACAAGAAGCCTGCTGTAGCTGGATCACAGTGTACATGGCAAAGGCCTTCTATTGCCATGCCCTCCTGCTCTGACTGCCCATCCTGACTTTAGGGTTTTCAGTGAGAGTGGGGGAGTGTAGCAAATGAGAGAGTGTTGGTTTAAGTAAATGAACAGTCTCACTAATAGGACTTTTATAAAGCAATACAGTTCTTTTTCTTTTCTTTGTTCCCCATTGCTACAAGTGGAACGAGCCCAGAACTTGAAGCCATCTAAGAGCTTTGTAAATTCCTTAAATACTACACGGGACTCATTTATAATTAGCAACTTCATTGTGCAAATAGAGGCCTGCTGCTAAATGCCTCTGCTTTTAAATAAAAGAGCACTTAGTTTGCCTGCTTACTTATTAATTGCTTAGTAATCTCTTTTTTGTGGGTAGAAAAAAACAGGAAAACAGGAAAGAGAAAAACCCAATATCCTGACTTTGCTTGAAGCTTTCACATTATTTCATTTAGTCATCATACAAGCTGGTTATAACCAAGTCTCTGAAACAATCATTCCCAACAGCAAACACTTTCTTTAGCTCCCTAAGGACTTTGTGTTCTATAGGTGAGGAGAAGCAGCAGTTGATTTAATCTTGGATTTTTAAAGGAATAAAGGAAAATTACCTTCTAATTTCCTTTGCCCTTTCCAACATGGCACATTTTAATCAGCCATTCTGATTTTTACCTAAATTGTCAAAGAAGGAAATCAAAGCAAAAGTTGTAGTGTCCAGAAGACAGAGTAATGGTTACTATTTTTCCATTTCTGTATCTAGTTTTTAATACTTCCCTATGCTCTGGAATTTGATAGATACAAACTAGACTGACTTAATTTTAACCAAGTTGTGATTTTATTCCTTCCTTCCTAGCCAAGTGCCTGGCTTAGGCATGTGATAGATGTTTACTGAATGACCCCCCCATTGAAGATCCTTAATGTGATTTTCAGTTTGTATTTCCTTAGTCTTGACCTCTCCTGTACAGAGAACATATCTCTATAGTTCAGCTGGTAGTAATTCCCACACCACCAAACTGAAATTGATTCCTCCAAATTCCCCCAAGCAGTGTTACTCCCAGGATTCCTTTTCTTTTAGAAAGCTACCTCATGTGAGTTTGACGATGAGGCAATGAAAACTTTTCTGACCAATGCATGTTCAACTGAAGAGTTTTCCTCAGATGGCACTCCTGTCTATCGTTATAGAAATGCTAACTATAGGATTGGAGCGCTGAATGTATTTGATACCCAGCCAGGATCTCAGAGTATATAAAGATATAGTCCGGTGCCTCTGTATCCACCCCCTAACAGATATCCAACTTTCCTGAACCCTAGTTTTCATAAGTGGGGAAAAGTAATACCGTATATGCTATGAGGGATGCAAAGACAGATCAGAAAAGTAACAAAAAGAGTTCAAGACCAGATGGCTTCATGAGTGAATTCTACCAAACATTTATTTTTAAAAATTTTTAATGTTTTATTTATTTCTGAGAGAGAGAGAGAGAGAGAGAGAGAGAGAGAGAGACAGTGTGAGCAGGGGAGGGTCAGAGAGAGAGGGAGACACAGAGTCAGAAATAGGCTCCAGGCTCCGAGCTGGAAGTCAGCACACAGCCCGATGCAGGGCTTGGACCCACGAACCATGAGATCACGACTTGAGCCGAAATCAGATGCTTAGCCAACTGAGCCACCTAGGCATCCCTCTATCAAACATTTAAAGAAGGGTTAGGACTCATCTTTTTCAAATTATTTTTAAAAATTGAAGAGGGAACAGTTCTAAACTCATTTTATGAGGACAGCATCACCCTGCTACCACAACCAAAGACCACACACACACACACACACATTACAGCCCAAGATCCCTGATGAATGTACATGCCAAAATCCTCAACAAAATATTAGCAAACCACATTCAACAATATGTTAATTAAAAGGATTATATACCATAATCAAGTAGGATTCATTCCAGTGATGCAAAGATGGTTTAAAATCCACAAATAGTATCCAAAATCTATAAGGAACTCACCAAACTCCACACCCAGAAAACAAATAATCCAGTGAAGAAATGGGCAGAAGACATGAACAGGACATCCAGATGGCCAACAGACACATAATGGTGCTGAGCATCCCTCATCATCAGGAAAATGCAGATCAAAACCACGCTGATATACGACCTAACACAGGTCAGAGTGGCTAAAGTCAACAAATCAAGAGACTATAGATGCTGGCGAGGATGTGGAGAAATGGGCACCCTCCTACACTGTTGTTGGGAATGTAAACTGCTGCAGCCCCTCTGGAAAACAGTGTGGAGGTTCCTCAAAATATTAAAAATAGAACTCCTCTATGACCCAGCAATAGCGCTGCTAGGATACAGTAGTGCTGATGCATAGGGGGCATATGTACCCCAATGTTCATAGCAGTACTTTCAACAATAGCCAAATCATGGAAAGAGCCTAAATGTCCATCAACTGACAAATGGATCAAGAAGATGTGGTTTACATATACAATGGAATACTACATGGCAATGAGAAAGAATGAAATCTGGCCACATGTAGCAACATGGATGGAACTCAAGGGTGTTATGCTGAGCAAAATAAATCAGGCAGAGAAGGACAGATACCATATGTTTGCACTTACAAGTGGAACAGGAGAAACTTAACAGAGGACCATGGGGGAGGAGAAGGAGAGAAAATAGTTGGGGAGAGGAAGGGAGGCAAACCGTGAGAGACTCTTGAATACTGAGAACAAACTGAAGGCTGATGGGAGTGGGGGAGGGGGAAGAGGGATGATGGGCATGGAGGAGGGCACTTGTTGGGATGAGCACTGGGTGTTATATGTAAACCAACTTGACAATAAACTATTTAAGAAAAAAAACTATAAAAATAAAATCGACAAATCAGTGAACATGATACACTACAAAAACAAAACAAAGGATAAAAATCATATTATATCATCTCAATAGGTGCAGAAAAATCATTTGACAACATTCAACATCCATTTATGATAAAAACTCAACAACATGAGTATAGAAGTGTACCTCAATATAATAAAGACTATATATGACAAGCCCACAGCCAACATACTCAAAGGTGAAAATCTGAAATCTTTTTCTCTAAGATCAGGAAGAAGACAAGGATGTCCACTCTCATCATTTTTATTCAACATAGTATTACAGGTCCTAGGCACAACATAAAAGAAATAAAATGC